GTGAACATAGAAGTCCTGGCTATGGCATTTATGGGTAGGCGACTGCAATTCCAGCCTGCTCCGCAAAACCACGAGCCAGGCACGGATCCGAATATTCGGGCATATATCTTACATCGTCCAGGTCACTTCAGTGCTCTTACCTTTGCAGATAATTCATGGACCCTATGGGACAATGGCGGTAGGGTGCACACAGTGGGAAATATTAACTCTTTCTATCACCAAATGCTGGAGGGTCACTTAGTCTGGCTCATCCATCAGGAACAGTACTTCGATGAGCATTTGCAAGCACTGCACCCCCCGGAGAGCAATCCTGCTGATTCTACCACAATAGTGAAAGGACCTCTCCACAGGACGATGGCTGTGCCCTCCCGTTGTGCCGTCGCACAGGTACAGTTCAGTTGGCATGTACACGACATAGCCTCTGCTCCGAACACTATGAAGGGATGGTCGCTGTTGGCCTCTCACACGAAATTATGATCCCCAGTCCTGTGCTCATCCCGCCCAACCCCTGATTACTTGCCCAGCATGCCGTTGTGGCCTTGATCTGCCATGCTTAAATAACTGTGCACGTCAGCCTTCCATACTAATGACGTGTCAGCAACATGCCATGTGTCGTCAATGCTTCCAGGAAGCTGTCATAGAAAGAATGTGTCTTTACTGCGTGGACTATCCCCGGTGCCATCACCCTCCACATCCTCTCCTAGCATGTCCCACATGCGGTATTGGTCATACACCTACGGCAACCGCTGACGGATCTCCCTCTTTCTTGCCAGACGAACGACGAACACAGCAGTCCGAGGAGGAAAATAGACTTCTATATGAACCACCGGCAGAGTGATGTGCTCATAGTTTATCACCACCAGGGCGAGCTGTTGCGGATCATATCCTGCAGCAGCTGAACCCCCTTGCGTTGGACCGATCCTCCCTGTCGTCGTCTGCCCATAGAGAAGGAATACATACTGAGGAATCCCAAGAAAGATGCTCCATGCCGTTTTGTGATGACCCGCCGGAGATTCAAATAGCATGTGGTTCACATGCCTTGTGCCGTGAGGATTATGACATCTGTCTGCGCCGTGCCATTCGATGCAGCAACTGTGACTGCGAAAATTGGATGCGGTGCTTCCATAGCCCACACCCGAACCGGTCCTGTCCGGTCTGTAGGGGTGGCCACTCGCCGTAGTTAATTAGGGTTTTTTATTAAATTTTTAAACTTCTTTTTTTTTTTTTTTTTTTTTTTCAGAAGTTTGCCTCAGCAGTGAATATTTAGAAATCTGTGAAACCCGTCAGACACCTTTCCCCTGCTCTTTGCATGTCATACTCTATCCTGCCCTCCACATATTTCTTAAATTTGCTATCCTTCCCGTTGCCCCTACCTCCCCTGCCCCATACTCCTAGAGAACTCCGCCTTCTATCCCTTACCCTCCACCCTCCCCTCCACTCCCTTTGTAGTACTAACAAATACATACGAATGAGCATCATTAAGAGAATAGACGATATGAAGATCAGAAATGAAATGAACGGAAGTATAAAGATGAAGGACGGACACAAAGACTGTATAAGCTGAAGATCTGAAGTGAAATGAACAGGAGTATGAAGCTCTGAAGAGATGCACAGGAGCATACC